TTTTTGTAGACCTGTGTAATGATTCCATAAACTAAATTATTTAACACATTAGATATAATATTAGATATATGGTAATATATTTTTTTAGAGTAAAAGGTATGTAACGATGGGAGTGTATGTGTGTGTGTGTGTGTGTGTGTTCGCGAACATAAATGCGGACCTGGATAATAAATACAAAAAAATTGATGTCGTAAAATTAGAGCGAATGTGTGTAAAAATTTTTTGATGGAAGGAAACGACAGGACGGATGGAAATTAAAGGTGATTACTGGATTTCTTTAATGATACAAGAAGAAGGGGGGAAGAAATTTAGAAAAAAACGTACCGGGACTGAGAAAGGATGGAGAGAGTAGGGAAGGAAAACAGGGATATGAGCGTCTGGAGGTTGTCCGGTTATGGCATTTCGGACTTCGTCTGGATCTGCGGTTTCGAATGTTATGGTAAAGGCGTCTTGGGGGAGAGGATCGGTGGAAATTTGAAACTGGGAAAAAAGGGAATTTAGGGATCGGTGATAACCATGGTGGTAATAATAGAGAGGACGAGCTGGGGGAATTTCGGCCACGAACTCCACGCTCGACGTTGAGTCAGCGGGAGAGGAACAACGGGAAAGGGGGGGTGTGTCTGGAAAAATTCGTTGGGTGAGGAGAGATGAGATGGATTCCGCGTCAGGGGAAGGAGAACGGAGAGGAGGTGGAAGGGAGAGTAGCGCAAGCGGAGGTGAAGAAACAGGTGGAGAGAAAGGAACTGGAGGTGAGCAAGGGTGTTGATTTAAAGAGTGAGGGATGCTAGGGGAAGAAAGGGGTGAGACTGGGTCTAAAGTATTATTATGATTATTATTAATTATATTATCGCTGTTCAAGGTGGCTAAATACTCGTAATAGGCTTCGTCTAGGAGCTGACGGGCCTCCCTAATCCGCTGTCTCCGTTGGCATTTAGCCGCGCGGGAAACCCGGGAGCGACGTGGTCGGTCACCCACTACGAGATTTGAATTGAAAATTATAGATTTTATACCCGGTTCTGCATTAAACGGCAAATAATAAAAGGGTGGGGTAGAAAGAGAAAAGAAAAAAAAACAAAAAAAAGGAAAAAAATAAGATTATATGACTCACTTGTTTCGATGAACCCTCCTGAGATTGTTGGAGCTGTTGGTACGAGACCGGCTCAGGAAAATGCGGAGAAGTTGATTTAGAGAGTGTTGATCGCGTTGATCTTGATTGTGCTGGGACTCTTATTTTAACTCGACTCTACCTTGAAGTTATTTCTCCTCGACTACTGCTGCCGATTTTCAATTCTATTTTTCACTGCCGATTTTTAAATTCTATCTGTCACTGCCTCTCGGGTCGTGAGATCGCGGTTTATATAGGACTCTTTTGGAGGTGGATCCTTATGGGATGTAATAGCTTAACCGATTAAGATTTTGATTGG